CCGGAGCGCCAGGGAAAGACTCAAAAAGACATGGACAAAAGCATACCCCAAGAAATAACTTCCCCTAACTCCCGGCTTTACCATCAGCTGCTCATTTAATGAAATAGATTTGAACCATTGTGAAAAGCGTGTTTCCTATCACCAAATGCCCAAAAGAAAAGGCATTATTTGCTTCAAGGCATGGCTAATGTTAAAAAACCTCCAGACTTTCACTTAACCCTCATGCATAAAAAATATCAAATATTGAGTAATTATCAGGAATTTAACCCTTTAAATGCCAAAATCATGTAATCAAGCTGGCATTTAAAGGGTTAAATTCCTGATAATTACTCAACATTTTGATTTGAGCAGGGCTGGAGTTGTTTAAGAGATTTATGCAAAAAAAGTAGAAAGAAATATGAATCTGTTCTATTTTTATAGCAGTTTTTGTAAAGTGGACATTTTCACCCTCCAATGTCCAAACAGGGAACTACATTTTAAATCTGATGCTACACAAAAACTAACAATGCATCAAAGTCAATATTTTGGATAATCTTTGACATATCCAAGACTGATTTTAATAAAATCCCCCAGCCACCAAATATTTGTTTAATGGAAAACAACTCATTTTTGTGTTTTTTTTTTCTTCATAAATAACAACAGTGACATCAAGTAATCAAACTGGCATTTAAAGGTTAAATTCCTAAAAATGATTGAATGTTTGGTAGTTTTGAGCAGGGCTGAAGTTGTTTAAGAGATTTATGCAGAAAAAAGTAGAAATAAATATCAATCTGTTTTATTTTTATAGTAGTTTTTTGGAAGTGGACATTTTTGTCCTTAGTGACTTAAGAGGTTAATAAATTAAACTGATGCCTGAGGGTTAAACTATATGCAAAAGGAAAAACATTGTATAGCAGTGTCATTGGGACAGATGATTCTGTTTTATGTGTGTTAAATTAACGTCAGACTTACAGGCTGTGTTTTTTTTGTTTCAGTTTAACCTACACTGTAAAGAGATGCAGACTGACATCCTGTTTTTCCTGACAGTTAACAAGAAGCAGATCCACATTTCATTACTGTTGCTGGTGACACAGTGTCAACATGACACACACACACACACACCATAGATCTTACAGTAGACAGATGCTATCACTCACCATCACCATGCTGTGCAGTTACAGACACAGAAGATTAACAGATGACTGTGCAACACAAATACACACAGACAAGAAAATACACAGAACAAGTGATAAAAGAAGCAGATATCAGACCTTTCCTTCAAATGAAATGTGTGTGGATAAAGAGCCTCAAAAATACTAAGAATCCAATAATAAGAAAACAGATTCAAAGACGCTGTCAGATGAAATGTGTGTGTGTGTGTGTGTGTGTGTGTGTGTGTGTGTGTGTGTGTGTGTGTGTGTGTGTGTGTGTGTGCAATTGTACATGTGAGCCATTCCTTTTTACTGAGCAAACACGTGTAACTGCACATCTTACTAAGCAGATTTCTGATGAGAGTGCAGTGCTCAGAGCTCTTCTTCTGCACTCCCATTACAGCCTCCCACTCTCACAGATGAATGGAAAACACACACACACACACACACACACACACACACACACACACACACACACACACACACACACACACACATAGAGACAGTCTCCCTCCGGTTAGGAAGTGGCTCTTCATCACTTCACTCTCAGTCCTCCTTTCTTTGCAGCAGACCTGATTAAAGCTGTTAAAGGGAATCAGTCTGGCCCTCTGCTCTCCACATGTAGAGAAACTCTCTGATCGTTTTCTGAATGCAAACCGGATACTTTGGTCAACCTCACACTAAGGAGATTAGACATGTCTGCACATTATTGCAGCACATTTTCCAATAACATTCTTTCAGTTAAATTTTAAAAAAATAGGAGAAAATATTAACCTGGTATTTAATTTACTTAGCCATCTTTTTTTTAAATATCTTGCACGTTACCATCGGTGTGGTTGATTTAATTACACAAAAAGACGACTAAGCTGCTAATAAACTCAACGGTGACAGCGATGCACGCAGCAGCCGTATTGGAATCTGACCTCGGGCTACTGAGGTCAGAATTCCGACTTCAGGGGGCGTTCCTGATGACGTATCAGACCGGAAACTCAGAATTTCAGGCTTCTGAGATCAAATGGAACGCAGCATCCCTCTGGAGTTAAACTACAGCCACCAACAGGCCTCTGAAAGTAGATAAACAGCAGTCCAAACTAAACTTCTACACACAGTCACAGGTGGACGAGGCTAATGCTGGTTGTAAACTGCCAGATAGCTGCTGACCTTGTTGGGTCGCAAAACACATTAAACATCTTCATAATGGAAACCCACACCCATAGTGAAAACCCAATAAGTTTACAGAAATATGAATAACAATTAAATTAGATTTACATTTTATATGATTACTAACCATTTTTTAAGGCAACAAATGAAAAAAGATTAGTGTGGATTTGAGGTTTCAGAGACTCTAACATACATGCAAAGTTAAGTCTGGCTCACACTGTGCCATTTTTCCCCGATTGTTTAAAAGTCGGGGTGTCATGTCAGCTCACACTGTACGACTGAATCGTTTACGCACCCGACCAGACCTTGAGATCGACGTGCTCACACTGTACGAGTGAAATCGGGACGGAGCGTTGACAATTATTAATAAAGTTTCATTTGAAAACTTCAAAGGACGACAGTTGGTGAAAGAGAAGGAAGTGGAAGTTGTTGTAGGATATAGAAAAGTTGATACAATCGTAGATATATGGAGACAAGTTTCAGAAAAGTGCTGCACTGATGATCTGTACTGAAAAGTAAAAAAAAACAAAAAAACTCCGGGTTGCGTCCTGCTGCTGGTCGCCATGACGACAGTCCTCCCTTGTCTCATGATTATATTGTAGTCACACACAACTTCTGCCGGACCCTTTCATGACGTAATCGTCAGGATTTTAAATTCTAAATATCAAACATGTTTGAAATAAATCGGGGACGTTAAGATTGGATCTTTGGACCGCTCACACTACGAGATAATCTGAGCAGAGAATCGGGTCCGAGCAGCCTCAAGTCGGAGCGACGCTGAGATTGTCGGGAAGAATCGGAGCTCAAATCAGCCCGATGATCCTGCAGAGTGAGCCGGGCTTTAGTGGGAAAGCGGTTTGTCGAAGAAAATTCTTTGCAGAAGTGATATGAAGCAATCAGTTCATTCTTTAGTCATGTAGTTCCACACCATAACTAAAGGTGTCTCAGGATAGTTTTTAAAAAAAGAGCAGGTCTAGAACGTACCCTGTTATATTATTTATAGAGACCCAACTTAAATCAACAATGATCGAGCACTTTGCAACATTTGGCAACAGTGGCCAGAAAAAGAAAACATCATTTTGAAGAGGCAGGAAGCTGGAGCAGGAGCAGCTGCTTAATGTTGTTAGTTTGCTTAAACTGCCATGCTTCTATAATCATGAGTGACTCATTCATTTGATTTATTTTTTGTTCTTTTTGTGCCTTAATCGGAGAGATAGGACAGTGGATAGAGTCGGAAATGAGCCACAGGTCGGATTCGAACCCGGGACGCCCGCCTGAAGGGCTACAGCCTCCATACATCTGCACCCACTGCACCAACACACCCAAACATTTCTTAACCCGCGAACTGTCTGATAATGTGTTTTTAGACTCTCTTGTTTGGGGATTTCTGCAGTGAGCTGTGTGTATGTCATAACCAGAGAGAATGTATGACACAAATGATCCCAGAGAGGGAAACAAACAAACTGTGGGGTGTTTCATTATTGTTGTTACAAACCTCTACAGTTTGGAGGAGGCAAGGTTCTTGTAAACAAAAAACAAAGAGGGGTATTTGTTGAATGGACTGAACTAACCATAGGAAACACTCTAAACTATTCAAATAAAGAAAAAAACATGGCGCCACAAAGTACAACTTTGGATAGGCTTAAATATTGATAATATTCTTATTTTTCTTCACTTACACTTGCTGGTCATGGTTAATGTAGATGTTGAATTAAATACATTTGATCTATCTCTATATCTTTCTTAGAGGTTCAACAATTTTGTGAAACTAGCCTACATACATCTTAAAACAGCCAATAACTAACCTATGTTTTATTTTATTTCATATTGTGTGTTGTTAAATAATATATATCCTGGAGTAATGTATCATAATGTCGAGCTGTGTGCATACATTTAACCAGAAGAGTTTAAAAAGTGATCTGATAGACTAAATAATTGAATATTTAAAGGAGCACAAGTGGTCAGCATGACAGATTGTGTTGCATTCTGTTCAGAGAATCTCTCCCACTGATTACTCTTGTTTTGAAGGATTAGGGATTCATTCACACATGCAGGGCGACAAAACGCACTCTTACCATCTCCATCTTCAGTTTCCTGATCTTTTCATCCAGACTCTTCTTCCCCGTCTCCTTACTGGTTTCATGCGCGGCGGTCAGCTTGGCTTCTCCCCGGAGAGTGGACGCCTCCTCCCGCATCCACCTGAGCAAACCCTCGGGGGTCTTCCGGCCAATTTTCACCTCTATGTCTTTCAGATCCGGGATGGTCTCTGTGGCCGTGCCTTCATCCATCGCGCTTTGATTGTATATTCCTTGAAAAAAAAAAAATCCGCAGGACACACGATTACGTCCTCCTTGTTTGTTGTGAACTGTGACTTCCTATAGGCTGGTGTAGCATCCTCTGTGACTTCAGCTGAGAGAGCAAAACAAATCTGACAGCATCAACACAACAACGTGTTGTTCCTCCAGCAGGATAATGTTACATTATTGTTTTGTTTCTAGCTGGATTGACATCTGTTTTGAAATCTAAAACCAACTCAAAACTGTTTAAAAAAAATATATATTTTTTTAATTGGCGTGGCTTTTCCCCCGCAGCTCACAGCCTGGTGTCCAGAGTCCAGTGTCCGCCGTGTGGTCGCTGCAGGCCGGGGAAGGCTGCTGTGTCTGCTCGGTGATCTCTACACGGAGCTACATTGCGCAGATTCCACCTGCATGATGACAGCGAGCAGCAGCAGCCGCAGAGTGAGAGAGGAGACCTCAGACCGTGAAGTACAATACAGTAAAGTCATACAGCTTCCGGTAGGACTTTCAAAATAAAATAGACTGACAGGAACACCATGGGTTTAGTATTGCAGACTACAAGAAATTTATTTTTATTTTATAATAATTAAACTAGGTAATTGTTTAAGCCTTAGCAGAATACATTTTGAAGTTCTTTTTCCAATATTAAATACATTTTTTAAATATTTGTTTCCAATATTAAATAAATATGCCTATGAAATAAATAAATAGACTTAGACTTAGACTTTCTTTATTGTCATTCAAACTTGTACTTTACAGTGCAGATAAGAACGAAATTTCATGCATTTGGCTCGTTGTAGTGCAGGATGAAAAAACAGCAGCATGTATTTACATATAAAAATAAAAATAAGGTGCAGATATAAATAGATATAAAAAGAAAAACTATGAGTAAAATTACTATACAGATAAATATATTGCACGTTATATTGTATTTTACAGTCCAGTGAGGTAGTCCTGTATGGGGGTTTGAGGGGGAATGGAGGGATTAGAGGGATTATTATTATTAAATACATACATATATAATAATACAATTAAAAGTCCCTGGAAATAAATAAATGTAGGCCTACTCCTTTCAAAATAGAACCATTTTTAATCATTTATTGACTATATTGAGTCATTTATATAGCCTATTTGTTTTTAATTATATTAAATAATTAATGTAATTATATATTCATTGCCTCATTTATTTATTTCAGGGTTTATTTCATAGCCATATTAATTAATTTCGTAGGAAAATGTATTCATTCATGTATTTATTTCAGAGCATATTTATTTATTTCTGTATTTATTTAATATTGAATAAAAAGTTGTCTCTCGTAAAAGTATTTTAAAGTCTGTCTTCAGGCGGCTGTGGCTAAGTTGGTAGAGTCATCGTCTCTCAACTGCAAGCTAGAGCCGATTAAAAATGAATAAAGAGCAAACATTTTGTTGGACAAATTAAGATAATTGAAGACATGACATAGGGCTCTGGATAGTTGTGATGATTTCTTTTATCATTTTTTGACACTAAAGGGTTAATTGATAATAAAAGTATTTGGCTGATAAGTGGATAATGGAATAACAAACACTTGCAGCCCTGTAAGAAGGTCTTTTTTTTAACCCAAGATGATGTAGACCCAATGTTTTTTAAATGATTAATAACCCATACAGTTAGTCGTGATTTTTAAAATGTACTCTGTTAAGACTTCCAGAAAATGTTGTGCACTTAACATAATATGTTAATTACACGCAGAGACTGAACAAAGAGACATTGATGAGTGTAATCTGCAGTCAGAGAGAGAGACTCTGCAGAGCTGAAGAGTTGCTTTTCATGCGAGCACTCACTCCGAGAGAAGCTGACTAAGAATGAAAAGACAGTCGTAGTCACCAGTGATGAAGTGGCTTAGAAAGGTCCAGTGTGAGCACTAATCAAATGCACAAGTGTGTCTCAGTGGAGTAAAGGATAAAGAGGGGAGTGTGTAACCAAAAAAAAAGGGGGATGGACATCAGCATTAAATACCAATTTGTTGAAAGCATGATTCAGGATCTGAAGTGGATTAGGGAGGTCTCACCTTTTTTTCGGTAAGGCATGAGAGCCACTGAGCCAGAGAGAGGCTTCTTTCCCTTCAGTTCTCGACCTCACAGTTTAATAATAATCATTAAATCCTCTTTTTAATAACGCTTTGAGCCACTTTTACAACCAGATATTGAACATTTAACAAAAGGCATTAACAACTGAGGCGAGTTAAGCCGAGCGAGAGTAGATAGGAAGGTATAAAGTCTGGATTAATGAGCTTTACTGTGATCCTATGATCTTTTGTGTTCAGTGTCACATCTTGTGAGGGGCCCTGATATATCCCAGCCATGCGCCTGTCAATGTAAATGTAACATTTCTGTGGAGAAACATTTCAGACATCTTTGATGCTGCCAGGTGGGCCATCTTTGCTCTCATCCAACCAGAAATGAAGACGGACCCCGCTATGTTGAAATAGGTCAAAAAGGGGTTAGCTTGAAGCAAAAAAGGACCATTTTCATAATGTGGGACACTTATCCTAATCCTGCTTTACAGGGGGGGGCTGTAAAGGCCACAGGGATTATTAGAGGTCACCGTCTTCCCCGTAAAACCTTTTGTTGTTGACATTTGGTGGCTGAGATGAAAACCCTATCATCTGAATGATCAAAATGCTTCTGAAATTCTGTATTTTAGCTTCGAGGCTGCAGAGTCATCCAAACAAACATCTGTAATCATTGTGTTACCACGCAATCAACTTGCCATCCAGCATCGCCGCCATGGCAACAGTTTTCGAGAGAGAGCAGAGAATTTTCTGTACACCCACATCATGGTTAGAAATTGAAAAAGCTGCCCACGAGGAGGCAAATTTTGTAGCTGAACACACATTACGAAACACACTCTGAGTGTAGGTCTATCTCGTGTGTATCAGAGGCAGCTGAGGTGGTTTAGCACTGCTCACCGAGGCATTTGTGTGTGTGGGTTTTGCATGTTCGCTTCAGGTGATGCAGTTTCTAGCCACATTTTTAAAAAGTGTGATGTTTGTGAGCGCATGCCCTCTCGCTGACCCGCTGAGAGATCTGTGAGATGTGGGTTCACTGCTGCCAGCTGGGCTCTTTTCCTGCCCACTCTTTGCTTTTTCCTGCAGGACTCACTCTTCTCTCCTGCAAAGTTTACAAGGTGATGTTCTCCTCTGAACTGAGTCATAACTTACTGTTACTGTTTTGACTTCTTAATGTCTTCAGGGGGATCTTTGGGGCCATTTCTGTATGAATAAAACAAGACAAATGTGGCCCTTTTTGCATCCCTAGTAGCTCATGCATGGCTGATTACTCCCTAGGCTGCCTTCTAGTGGAGAAAACTGGCTAGTCCCTCAATTAAACAACTTTTATACACGAGGGGAGGAGTCAGCCGGCCGTCCTGGCGATGTAAACAAACTGAAGATAGGACTCTGAAAACTCTGAAAACATCACAGACAGTGGGACTCGGGTGTTACACCCATTGTAGACAGTCATGACTCACAGAGTTATTTTCAGAGGATATACTTGATTTATATTATATTTAAGTGTGAAACATGACATATAAAGACTTTAAAACTGCCCTTAGAAAGCATGTTTCCTCCACTGATTGGTTTCATTACCTGCATGTGTGTAACGAGGTGTATGATATTATGACTGACAACTGTGTTTATACTATTAAGAAACCAGTTTTCATTGTTGCATCCAGTCCTATTGGACTTCTTTAAAGTTGATTTAGATGAATATGGACTCAGACTTGTCAGCTGATCTCTTTTAAAAATATCTCTCCTAAAGGTCTCTTTGAACTGAGGCTTCATGCATTTTTCATGTTGTATTTTGAAAGCTTGCTCTTGTTGGAAACTGTTTGATGTGGGCCTTTTGAAATATTGCATTTTATAATCCACTTACAACACTAAACACCCTCTTCTTTTTGTTCCACCCTGTCTGGTTTATCATTGGGCAAGTTTTTTCTCAGCTGGAAGAAAATGGATTTGTATGATAACGTAATCAGAAACACAAAAAAATGCTTCTCTTGTGCTTGCAGTATCATTAGCATACAAAGTCAAAGTTTGCTTTTGTTGCTCTCTTTGCAGACTATCTGCATTTCACCTCAAGCTATTTACACACCAAGAGTGCATCATGCTAAACATGTTTTTCTATTTTCCTACATTTTTTTGAATTCTGAAATTGAATATTTGTTCCTTTTAAAGAAGTAACATGAAGTAGAAAACATTTTTTTTTCATTTGGTCCACTTCAGAGTGTCCGTCAAACTGATCCTGATGGTTCACATTCTTCTGTTAGAGCTGATTCAGGCAGGGACAAAAACAAAGCTTTAAACTATTTTTACTCAACTCAAGACATGAATATTAGCATCCTGTCAAAATGGACTTCAAGAAATGTCAGCTGGTACTTGTGCTAAAGAGAAAAGGCCAGACCAAGATAACTTTGAAGCAATGCAGTCGCCTTTCTTCAGAAAAACAAAGTTTATATTGATGAAGGCTATCAATTTATGCACAATAATCAGATTTGATAATTATTCTTCATGAGAAAAAACGTTGGAAATATTCATCCATATCGATACACCATGTCCCCCTTCGATGCAAATCCACTCCCTAGCCACTCCCAGGTCTAACCTGCTCAACCTGTCTGCAACGTGAGGACACGAGTGGGTGGTTAAATTATTTCACAACAGATTCAACTGTCGGCTCAGCAGGAAGAAAGAAATGAAGACAAAAATATAACTACAAGCAGATTTTTTTTTTTTGCAGATAAAGTTTCTTTTTTTTCTATCAGGGGGAGGAGGTTGATCATGGAGGGAGACAGCACAGAGGACATCGAGTCTCTCATTGAGAACTTGGACTATATCCCTGGACACTTCCACCTGGAGCTCAACCTGAACTGTGATCCCGCCGGGCCGTTGAAGCTGAGACTCAGGGACACTTACCTGAAACAGGAGAGCCTGCGAGGAGAGCTGGAGGCCGAGGCCGGGTGTCTTCAGTACGCCGTCAGAAATCTGTTGGGTTTGCTGGCCTTTCACCTGGAACAGCTGGAATCGGCAGAGGAAATATTCAGGTGAGGTTTCACTCTTGAGATAAGAGTCCAGCGAGCAAGAGGAGCCGTTTTAAGAAGAAGGTGATTGCTGATTTTAGAAGAGATCTTGAAGAGGGAACACCACACAGGTTGTCTTGCTTTAGCTGTGTGACCACATTAACTGTTCAGCCAGCTGAAAATATAAAAATGACCTTTGAGCAATTATTATGAACATCATTGAAAGTAAAAACCTTAAATGCAAAGGCATTAATTAAGAATAATTTTAAATGCATGATGCTGCATAACAAACATGATTAACATATTCTAGCTTGGTAACAAGTGGCTTGACTGGCTCAAAGAAACAATTATGAATATAAACATATCATCATATCAAGTGAACATAATTATGTGTTGCTCCAGTGAGACGAGCACATGAATATCTTCTACCAGTTTACATTTATTATAAGTTACATTTTTTACTAAATAGTCTTTTTATTTTTGTAATTATTGTACCTTTAATACCCTAGGATCAATGGTTACAATCAACTTTTGTTAAAGATTGTAAGTAATACTTATTTTGATCAACTCAAATGTTTTTATTGTATAAATGCTCATAAAGTACATATGATACAACAATTATAATGTAATCTAAATATTTGAAATATCTTAGTTCCATCATCTTTCAAACTAAGCATCTCATTATTTGTTTTTTGCTGCTATGAAAGTTTTACTATTTATACTAGTGATATGTGTTTTTCACTGAATGCTATGGTGAAATAACAAAATAATCAATTCTAGCAGATCTGTGAGATTTGTTAGACACAGCAGTGCTATGAGCTAAATGCTAATGCCCATATGCTAACATGCAATCAATGACGTTGCTACATGATAATGTTTAAGCATATAACGCTCACCATGTTGACCATTTCAGATTGGCATGTTAGAAAGTATTAGCATTAGCTATTCGCTAATTCATTCTGAATAAATAGGGCAGCTCAGGTTGATCTAATCTCACTATTTTGCTAAGGTTAATTAAACGAAACACTTGACATCAGGATCTTGACCTGAAGATAGCATTAGATTAACATTAAACTGAACGAAAGCTTAAAATATCGACCTGATTGTGGCATTTAAGGAAAAGTCAGGGGATAGCAATCACTAAAAACAAGAAGGATTCATCCTCCTCTTGAGACCATGAACAACTTAAAAACATCTAATTGATTTCATTTCTAAGTAAAAGAAGTGGAGGCCAGTTTGCCCAGCAGTCAGTTCATGCACCTCATGTACAGAGGTCTTTGAAGCAGGCAATGCAAGTTTGACTCTTCACAATTTTCTCTCTCTCTCTCTCTCTCCATCTCTTCATCCTCTCTCTCTCTCCATCTCTTCATCCTCTCTCTCTCTCTCTCTCTCCATCTCTTCATCCTCTCTCTCTCTCCATCTCTTCATCCTCTCTCTCTCTCTCCATCTCTTCATCCTCTCTCTCTCTCTCTCTCTCTCTCTCCATCTCTTCATCCTCTCTCTCTCTCTCTCTCTCTCCATCTCTTCATCCTCTCGCTCTCTCTCTCTCTCTCCATCTCTTCATCCTCTCTCTCTCTCTCCCTCTCTTCATCCTCTCTCTCTCTCTGTATCTCTCTCGCTCTCTCTCTCTCCATCTCTTCATCCTCTCTCTCTCACTCCATCTCTTCATCCTCTCTCTCTCTCTCTCTGTGTCTCTCTCTCTCTCTCTCTCCATCTCTTCATCCTCTCTCTCTCACTCCATCTCTTCATCTCTCTCTCTCTCTCTCTCCCTCTCTTCATCCTCTCTCTCTCTCTGTGTCTCTCTCTCTCTCTCTCTCTCCATCTCTTCATCCTCTCTCCATCTCTCTCTCTCTCCATCTCTTCATCCTCTCTCTCTCTCTCTCTCTCTCTCCATCTCTCTCTCTCTCTCTCTCTCTCTCTCTCCATCTCTCTCTCTCTCTCTCTCTCTCTCTCTCTCCATCTCTCTCTCTCTCTCTCTCTCTCTCTCTCCATCTCTCTCTCTCTCTCTCTCTCTCTCTCTCTCTCTCCATCTCTCTCTCTCTCTCTCTCTCCATCTCTCTCTCTCTCTCTCTCTCTCTCTCTCTCCATCTCTCTCTCTCTCTCTCTCTCTCGCCCTGGTTTCTGACTCCAAAAGCCCAAGAATAAATCTCAGAAAAAAAAACGTTGTCAATGTCTGTTGGCCTTTTCAGAAGCATTTGTAAAGAAGACCCCGGTAACCTCAACGCCTGGGCCAACCTGGGCTACGTGTACGACAAGCTGAAGAGAGAGCTGGATGCCGCGGAGTGCGTGGAGAAAGTGTCCCACCTCATGGGATTAGATGCCGGAGAGGCCTCTCAGGAGGAGGCGCGGGTCCTGGCTGCTCGATGCCTCGCTGAACAGGCCTACGTGTACCCCTACGATGTGGAGCTGGACAGCGAGGAAGACCTGAGGGAGAGGCTGACGGCGGCGTTGACACTCTACAACAGAGCGCTGTACTATGGAGGGAATCTGGTAAGATCACAAACTCCATGTTACTCGTTTTTATTCCAAACAAGTGCAACGTTGTGTTTATGGGTGGCAATCAAACAATGATGCTGTACATTAACATAAAGAGATAACAGACTATTCCAGCCAGTAAACTTCATTGTATTCCACATAAATGGCTACTCATAAATAATATATATTTTTTTTTTTCAGATACCAATAGAGGAAAAACAAAGCTGGTATTTTAAAATGGCGACCATCTACATCAGGTACAAAAAAGTGCAATACAAACTTTACCTCTACACCAGTGAAGTTGAATTTGAATTTATTTATTTTAAAGTCTTTCTATGTGATTTTTCACACTTAAATGTAGAAATCAAGTACATCCTCTGAAAATAACTCTGTGAGTCATGACTGTCTACAATGGGTGTAACACCCGAGTCCCACTGTCTGTGATGCTTTCAGAGTTTTTCAGAGTCCTATCTTCAGTTTGTTTACATCGCCAGGACGGCCGGCTGACTCCTCCCCTCGTGTATAAAAGTTGTTTAATTGAGGGACTAGAGAAAAGAAGAATAACATACTGTACTCACTGCTTAACTGTGTTTCTAGATCACGCTCATTTCAGGTAAATTTACATGCAGTGTGAAGATACCAGCATAATAAAGATCGCTAGCATTAGCATGCTAACACAACAATGCAGCGCGAGTTGTTTTGGTTTCATGCTGGTGCTCAAGGGCGACATCTGCTGGATCAAAAAATCACATATAAAGCCTTTAATAGGGACAATGCAATTTAACATATTTTCAATACAAAGCATGAAACTGATGTGCTGCATAAAGAGTTTATAGCTATTGCTAATTTCCAACTTGTGTCCCCAGTTGGGCCTTTGTGTAAACAAACAGATTAAAATGTACAACATTCAGTTACATAAAACCCCATAACACCATATGAGGATACGTTAAAATACATGTACAACAATACAAATGCTGTAAACTAGTTTGAAATAAAGTTTTAAGATACTAATGAAAAGTGGGTACAGCTCTGACTTGCTTTGAGCCAGGATTTAAGTGTTACATGAAAATGACCTGAAAATCCCATTTTCTCACTGCAGACTTGACGACATCGTAAAGACCGAAGACGACTCTGAGTACTCCAGACTCTCTCACTACAATAAGGGCCTGAAACTCCTGAAAGAATCCCTAGAATCTGAGAAAACACAAAACAAGGGTCAACACGGTATGTTACCTTTTGGATTTATCTCCTTGGTTGTTCACCCATAGAGACATCTTGTTGCAGGTACAGTGCTCATGCTAAAAGTATTTGATTTAAAGTGCTTAAAACTGTACAAAACCTTTGTTTTAGTATGAAATCAAAAATATGAAATAAGAGTGACAACTCTCCATGTGTAATCTGAAGAAAAGGCCATTGGGTAGAAACTGTTTTAAAGTTTGGATTCTGATGTCTCTGCTCAGCTCTCGCCTGGTGTTATGTTGGCCTCATGCTGGAGAGGAAGGAAGAGTTCAGCACTGTTCCCATGGCTATACACGACTGTGGCTTCTCCGCCTCTGATCCTCTGTCCTGCTATGGAACTGTGAGTTAACCCACACGTCTACATATCAAGTTTTAAACATAACGCAGTTATCTACCCTGGACCTGAAGGGTATACTACAGAGAATGATTCATGAGTTAGCAGGGTATGTTGAGCCTAGAGTCCATGGAAACTTCTGCTGTATATCTAACCTGCTCAGAAGGAAGTTGATTTAAGATTTTTGGATTTCACTTTGCTGTAAAAAGGTTTGTAACTGTTCCCTTGTCAGAGAGAGTCAAATGATGCATTAAACGCCTCCTTGTATTGGACGACTCTAAATTGGGACGGTTAAAGAAGTATACTTCTACTATAGAAGTACAGCTTCAGGTCTAAATGTCTAAAAACTGAAAAACGTTCTTATCCCAAAACCTGTAGCCTTGTGTCATTTGTCTTGATGGCTTCTGGCAGCCAGGCACATTTCTTTAGCAGATCAACTGACATTACTTTAGAAAAATCTTTAAATAACATTTCATGTGACTGTCTTGTGTCCTCAGGCCATAAAACTGGCCAGTGATGATGCATTCACTCTGAACCTTCTGGCAAAGGTCTTCTTTCTGCTGGGCAAACATGAAATGTCCACAGGGATCTGCAACATGGCCTTGAACGTGCTCCCAGACCCAGAGCTCAACTGGCAGGCCTACTGCACACGAGCAAAGGTACCGCAGCCGAAAAAAAGATCAAGACAATGCAAAGACAAAGCTGGACAAAAATGGTCTCAATTATCATGTGGAATCCTTTGATTTGAAAATATCCATGCATTGACAATGGTTTAAAGATGCAAGAACTCACATATTTTGCACATATCTCTCACTTAAATAAATGGCGTTCAATAGAAATACTTATGAAGGTTTTTATTTTGGAACGACCTCCCTGAGGAGACTCGCAGATTCCCTCAATTCTTTTAAATCCCTTCTTAAAATGTACTTTTACAGACTTTCTTTTATGTGATGTCGTCTTCTTAATCTCTTTTCTTACTGGTTTTACTATTTGTATCTTCTTTTACTTCTTACTGTCCTTTTATTTATGCTCTTATCTTAACTCCTCTTATGTTTTAACTTACTTTGTCTATTTATGTTTTATATCTATATATACTTTTTATTTTTATTAATATTATTGTTTTTTTAATATAATTTATTCACTTGTTTCTATTTCTTTTTCTGCTCTTACCTTCTTATTGCTGTTATCTTTTTATTTGCTTTTATCTCTTTTAGTTTCTTACATCTTTTTAAGTCTTTGGTTCCTCTTGGTCTCAGCTCGTGTTGTTGGGTTCTTGTGTTGCCTGGGTTCTTATGATGGTTCTTATGATGGTTCTTATGATGGTTCTTGTGATGGTTCTTGTGATGGTTCTTGTGATGGTTCTTATGATGGTTCTTGTGATGGTTCTTATGATGGTTCTTGTGATGGTTCTTGTGATGGTTCTTGTGATGGTTCTTGTGATGGTTCTTATGATGGTTCTTGTGATGGTTCTTGTGATGGTTCTTATGATGGTTCTTATGATGGTTCTTGTGATGGTTCTTGTGATGGTTCTTATGATGGTTCTTATGATGGTTCTTATGATGGTTCTTGTGATGGTTCTTATGATGGTTCTTATGATGGTTCTTATGATGGTTCTTGTGATGGTCTGGTTCTATATGTCTGTTGGGTATTGTGCACTTTGGGTTTTTTCTGTTGAATTGTATTTAATTATTTTTAGTATTTTGCATTTGTTATGTTCTTGCTGTTGTTTATGTTCTTCTGTGTTTGGTTTAGTTTGTTCTTGTTTTTGCTGTTTGTCAAAGCACTTTGTAAACCTGTGTTTTTAAAAGGTGTTATCTAAATAAAGTTATTATTATTATCATTTTAGATCAATATGATGCTCTACATCAGAGATCTGGAGATTGCCAAACAGGGCCATGGTGGTATCCCAGACCGACAGAAGCTAACTGAAGCCAGGAAAGACCTGGACAAGGTCCTGAATGTGCGTCCATGTCTGCGGACTCACCTGCAGATGGCACAGGTAAACACACAAACCTCTAATAATGAGCAGTACAGACAGATGTTCTACAGGGACTAGCTATAAAGATTGATTTCTTTTTCCTATAGGTGTATTACTACATGGGTGTAGACGCCCTCCAGGAGAGTCTTTTGGTGGATGAAGGGGCGGTGAACTGTGCTCTGGTGAGTCTGTCTCACGCTCTCCAGTTCGAGCTGAGTGACAGCCTGCCGGACCTCCACTTGCTCCGAGGACGCTGCCTCCTGCTGAAGGGCGAGGAGCAGAACGCCGCAGACTGCTTCAAGCAGGCCATGGAGCTGGACAGACCCGGGAGCAAGGACACCACGGCCCTGCGCTGCCTCCTGCAGGCCCTCCTCGCCCTGTTCATGCAAGGAGGCCCGGACCCCACCCTCGCCACCACACAGCTGGAGCTGTGCGTGCAGAAAGCGGAGGAGAGGTACCCCGCGGACGTGGTGAAGGCCGAGCTGAGGTGCCTGTACAGGACTCACACGGACGAGGTGACGGAGTTGTCGCGGGCTCTGATCAGGACGGGCAGACTGAGCCTGGTGAGGAGGCTGCTGGACACGGTGGTGCCCAAACAGCTGGTTAAAAAGAAGAGACCAATATCCAGATCTTTTACAATTGCATAAAGCTAAATAAGACTTTTACAGGAAACAGGTACATGACGAAACCAGAGCAGAGTTAGTTATTTATCAGCAAAGTTACAGATACATTATACTGAGCTGAAGCTTTCTTTACTGCAGCTCTGTGTGTTTTGATGTTTTTGACACATCTTTTGGAAGGATTGGATCTTCATAGTAACCTGCAGTTACAGTGTTAATGAACAAACTTAAATATCCTTTCAGCTTTTCTTTATGATGGATATTGACAGTGTAACATTCTACAATAAAAATGATAACCACCACTTATTACCACCACGCTCTTCCATCAGCCATTTCACGGCCTCGATGCCTTCATGGTGCGCAAGCAACTGCTGTAAGATCTTTATGTCTACAGAGCGCAAGTGAGCCTGCAGGGGAGAAAGAAGGAGACACGGAAATATTCATTAAAGGCTTTATATGTGATTTTTCACACTTAAATATAATATAAATCAAGTATATCCTCTGAAAATAACTCTGTGAGTCATGACTGTCTACAATGGGTGTAACACCCGAGTCCCACTGTCTGTGATGTTTTCAGAGTTTTCAGAGTCCTATCTTCACTTTGTTTACATCGTCAGGACGGCCGGCTGACTCCTCCCCTCGTGTATAAAAGTTGTTTAATTGAGGAACTAGAGAAAAGAAGAATAACATACTGTACTCACTGCTTAACTGTGTTTCTAGATCACGCTCATTTCAGGTAAATTTACATGCAGTGTGAAGATACCAGCATAATAAAGATCGCTAGCATTAGCATGCTAACACAACAATGCAGCACGAGCTGTTTTGGTTTCATGCTGGTGCTCAAGGGCGACATCTGTTGGATCAACAAATCACATATAAAGCCTTTAAGGGAAATGTCCAGCTGAAAAGAGAAAGTGGAAGTTATCAGAATAGAATAGAATAGAATAGAATTACTTTATTGATCCCAAACTGGGAAATTGTGGCGTTACAGCAGCAGGTTATCCAAACACACAATATTAGCAAATAAACACAATATAATATTAAATACAAAGTAAATAAGCACTAAAAAATATCAAAACTAAGAATGGGAATATATACAACCAGGATTTAACTAAGCATTACTTCTAGTCTTAAATATGAAAAGATTAAATACAACATACTTTGCTGGATGTAGATGTAAATGTTGTAAATGAACAGTATTGACATAGGGAGCTGTGCAATCAGTGATACATAAGTTAAAGTACAGGAGTGTAGACATGTTATCAGTAGAAAATATTCAATATAACAGTGAGTAGACAGACAAATGAAGTGAACTTGAGTGCAGGGATAATTTGTAAATTTAACATGTGCAGAACAGATTACACTATGGAGAGACAGATATTATCATAAAAGGGCCGATGCCAGGATACCCTGAAATAAGTAATTTCCAACACAGACTTTATTCCACTTTAAGTGAGACATTTCATGCTTTAAACTGCCTTCAAGAGCCTTTAAGTGGCCGTGTGACAGCTTGGATGTAATGTTTGAATAATTGAGTTGAGGCAATTCAGTGATTAAATAGTTGTGTGTGTGTGTGTGTGTGTGTGTGTGTGTGTGTGTGTGTGTGTGTGTGTGTGTGTGTGTGTGTGTAAACTTCAGCCTTGGCAGTAGCCAGATCTCAACCCACCGAAACACCCACCTGTAGAGACTTTGGATTTAAGAGCTCTTCACTTCACCAGTATAATAATCATGATGCAAAAAAAAGGGAAATGTCTTTATGGGGGAGGGGGAGGGGGAGGGGGTGGGGGAAGGGAGGGGGTGAGAGTCTGCTCTCCTTCAGTAGAGCTTCAAAAAACGTTGAGAACATTTTGGACTGTTGTGGAGCAGATTGTGAGAGTTTATCTGTTCAAGTTTGAATAAAACAATCCAAAAAGATAAACGTCATGGTGTGAATTATCTATGGAGATGACATTTATTCTCAAAGCCACAATCAGTGGCACTTGTTCATCAAATGCTCCTTTCTGTGAAACTATCAGTAATGGTGCTTTTACGGCAAGAAATGTGATAAGAATTCATGAGGATTAGGACCAAGGTGCTAAGAGAATTCAGATTCAGATTTTTTTATTGTCCCAAAAGAGGAAATTTGCGTTTGTAACAGGAACACACAGAAGACAAGAAACACAAAGACAACACCAACATAAAACATAAACCAAAACAGATAAAAAAAAATCAGACAACACAGCAAAATATAAAACCAAATAAAAACAGCGCAATAAAATCAGTCAAGAGCCCGTACCAGAATGAAAATTCAAGTTATTAAAGAGGTCATATTCTGCCCATTTTGGGGTTCATATATTTAATCTATGTACTAAAGTATGTTCACAATAACTAAAGTTATAAAAAAGTGTCTGTTTTGATGAACTGCCGCTCCATGCACCGGCTCTCTTCTGACTCTCTCTCTAAGGCTCTGAAGTGCCCACGTTCAGAGTCCCCACGTGTGCCAAGTCTGATCTGATTGGTCGGCCTGTCAGCTCTGCCGTAATTGGTCAGTCGCTCAGCACCTTAGCACTACTGTGCTACCGCAGGCTACGGCATATCGTGGGCGTGCTACAGAAGTTAACGTGCGTGCAACATGAGCTGCTGGGCTTGCCACAACGAGCCAATGGGCTTAGATCAGTGATCTCACACTGACAAGACGTCACACTGGCAAATTTTTATCGAGAGGGGCTAGAACCGAGCGTTACATGCAGCTAATGCTACAGCTAACAGGAGGACGTAGGAGAAGCCGTGTTTCTGCGGACTTCGAAATTTTGTACATAGATGTGCCTAAACATGCACAGGACACTTGGAAAACACACTAAAGAGCATATAAAACCAGAAAAAGCATAATATGACCCCCTTTAAAGTGCAAAGTGGAGGTGTGCAAATGTGCAATTCAAGTGCAAAAAGAGCAACAAATACCTACTTGGATTAACATATTAATTGCACTTGGTAAAAATGAGATGAGAATCACACAGTGTTTGGTCTAGTGATCTCATACTATACTACAGGAGACGAGAAAGAGAATACTAAAGCACATTAGCTTAGCGTTTAGGGAGTCAAACCAGTTCTTAGCACTAACTCACTCACTGACGCTAACTCGTCACTTAGTTAAGAATCTCGACTATTCAACTGGAATCCCGGGTTGACTCCTCCCTGACTCTTAGTGCAGCAGAGTGAAAGGGATCACTCTTCATGTTGTAAAACACAAAATACTGAAACAGTTATTAACATTTTACTGTGACAATTACAAATGAGGGAGGGGGGAATGTTATTTTAGTCCTGGTTTCTGTAGCCATCATTGACACCGTATTTACACCCAGAACTCTTGGAGAGTTTTAAAAACGTGTAATCATGGCAAAGTGTTTGATTCTCACATTTCACTGGGAGATATGATAGCAAGTACAAAAAGCAGAGGGTCTGATGATAGCGTGCTGTTTCATTCCCTAGGGGGGTCTATGTTTCGCAAATCATCATATTCAGTTTTTATTTACATTTAACAAAACGTCACAACCTTTTAGGACTTTTAGGACAACCTTGTTGATCTTCAGCACAATCTGAAGGATGACTGTGCTGACAGGAGTATGTAAATGTCAATGCAGCTTGTACATATTCATCACCAGAGGTCATTTGGCTTGACGTGAAAGTTGCTGTCTTCAGTATGTTTGATGTCTTGCCTTTCCCCATGCAGGTTACAATGAACTGTGCCAATGTGGAAATTCATAGCTGTCAAACAGGTAGCACCGAAACTACTGTTGGTATTCATTTTATTTATACAATAAAAGAGTGCTGGTGTGACAGGTCAATTAAGAACCTTGATTGTTGTTTGGTTATCGGGGACCCCACAGACTAATTTTTGTTGTACTTGTCATTTTGAAATTCTTTAGTTTATAACGTTTTTGAATTCATCTTCAAAGTTGCGAATGTTAATGTATTTTTCTGAACTGCAACATTATTCAAGCAGTTCATGTTGACATGTTATTAATTAAATGCGCTGCATAATCTACACCACTAGGTGGAGTCTGTGAGTGAGAAACAGTGACATGCAGGGGTTCGAAGAAGAAGAGTTGTTGTTGTTGCGATGCTCCAGAGTTAGCAGGAAAGTTTTAGTTATGATTCAGCAGAGACTCATAGGCAGAGTGAATGAAGGTACTGAGTCTTTGTTAAAACTTCAATAAAGTGAAGACAAGTGAAACGACCTTTCAGCGTTCGCCTGAGTTTCGGCTGCAACACTGGCTTCTCTGACAACAATGCAGCAGGCAGTACGCCTCCTCCTAAGGTTCGATTGCGGTCTGGAATGGTTTGTTTTTGTTTTAACCAGAGAATGTAGGCGGTTTTAAGGCACACCAAAACATCCGTTTTAGACACCCCTCGGTTTTGCCTGGCAAATGGAAAACAAACAAGGTGTTGCAGCGAAGGAAGCAGGCAAGCAAACTGGTTCTGATATAATTGATTCTACCTGACCTAAAACGCCTCTGCATTTTTCAAATAAACATAGAACGCAGAATGGTTTCAAGACCGATGCAGAGCTGGCTAAACACTGAAGCTTCGCTGTGTGTGACGGCTCCAGAGAGGAGGGGACGGGAGGAGACAGCTCTCTCCAGCAAAAGAATGTCACTTTTATATGTGTTTCGCTGGTAGCACTACCCTCAATGTTGACCGTTGTGTCCACCTCGTTTGGTTCAGGTTCTGCAGCATTGTTTTTTTCTTACTCACTTAACACTCATGTCATGCCACTCCTCCTACATTCAATAGTCTCTCACAGCTTTCCAAGGTGACAACAAGGCTTTACACTTTAGTCAGGTAAGATTTTAAGATTTGCTTTGAAAAAATACAGAAAAATGATGCTGGCAAAAAGAATGAAATTGTTGGTTATGTTCAAGTATCTATCAGGTCATACTACCATTGGTAATTCTGAAGACTACACTTCAATTTTTGCATTTTAAAACAAATTGAAAAGTTTCTACAACATTCAAATAGTTGCAATCTTACAGGAATGTATGTTTTTTTTTTTTTTTAACATCATGGTGGTTCTAATGTTGTCAATGGCCTTTAAAGGCCAATTGGGTCACTCACCAGGTAACAAGGGTTGACAGTTTTGTCTGTCGCTGCAGCGTCTTCCACTGTTGTTGACGTCTGTATTTGCAGTGGCAACAGATTAAAGATAATTGACTGACATTTTTGCCATGATGGCTGTTATTTTTAAGAGATTTCTCTGATATAACAGAAAGTGTGTCTATAAAGATGTTTACAAAAACAGAAGGTGTGAAAAGTTGAGTAGGCATTGCTGCTGCTCATTCTGGCTACAGAGCCTACAGACTCCTTTTTTAACACATTACAGAAAACATAGGCCATAGGATTTGGGGTGGCTGTGGCTCTGTGGTAGAAGCAGAAGTCTATCAACCCAAATTGCTCCTGCTGCTTCATCAGCATGAGTTGATTCGATGGCTTGTAAATGGAATTTCCAAACACAAAAGCTTGATCATCAAGACACTTAGTCGATCGCTCTCTGACACAAATACTTTCATTAAAGAATGTTCGATCTTTTTATACATATATACAATATCTCATTAATACCAAATCACATCAACACATTTTTTTTGCATTTGATATTCTATGAAAAAAAAGTTATAAGAAAGATGTGAAAACATATTTTCATATCTGTGATTGATCTGTGATTTGATATCTGCGGATAACATATTGTTCATTGTTCAAAATCTAATCCAGATCATCATCTCTGTTGTTAAAATTAATTCTTAAATGCATGTTATCTAAGGTTTGTCCTGCTTTAATCTCTTATCTTTTTGTTAACAGGTTAAGTTTTGTGTCTGTGGAAAGCATTTGAAATGAACATGTCAAACACACGCCCCCAGACAGAGTGGAAAACTGGTCTCTTTGACTGTTGTGAGGACGTAAGCTCATGTAAGACTCCGCACCACAACTTTTATTCATATCAGTATTTTGGGTGTAACGCTGCATTTGCCTGTTAAGTCCAAATAAAGCCACTTTTTAAAGGCTATATGTGATTTGTTGATCTGAAAACTCTGAAAGCATCACAGACAATGGGACTCGGGTGTTACACCCATTGTAGACAGTCATGACTCACAGAGTTATTTTCAGAGGATATACTTGATTTATATTATATTTAAGTGTGAAAAATCACATATAAAGACTTTAATGATTCATCACCACTCTAGTACATCTTCACACTTTCTATTTTTCAGGCTGCTATGGTTTCTTTTGCTGTCCTTGCCTGGCCTGCACGGTTTCAAGCAACTTTGGAGAGAGCCGTTGTCTCCCGTTATGTGACATCTGCAGTCCAGCTATAACATCAGCCATTGGGGTACCTCTGTGTGTGCCTCCTGCTCTCCTGTCTCTGAGGGTCGGCATAAGACACGCATATGGTATCAAGGTAAAACATGATGTAACAACAATGATGCACATTGACATAAAGGCTCTCCAAGATTTTTTTATATTGTTGTTTCTAAACCATTTTTGACTTAAAACTTTTTTTGTGTTGGTCCATAACAATCAAGCCAAATAATATCAACTTTGCACAAGATACAGAAAATATTCAAGTGTAGGTTTAAAACTTACACAAGGTGCTGTTTATCATGATTATGCAAAATGCAAGTTGGCAGAAAAGTAAAGTGACTCTACAAAAATGTTATCTGATTCAAGAGATTTTATATTTGAAGTTAGAAGATACTCTTGTTGAAGTCGTACAAAAATGTGATTCTGACATATGACTGACATCATTTTAAAACCCTAATTTAATCAATTAAGTGAAATGAAATGATACCTGAGAAATACCGTAAAGTGATCGTAATCCATACACTTGGTTCTGCACAGGGAAGTCTCTGTAACGACATCGCCACCTCCTGTGTCTGTGTGTGGTGCACCTGGTGCCAGATGCATCGTGAGCTGAAATACCGTAAAAACAACCAGACTGTCATCGTCAATGTGCAGCCTCAACCAGTGATGATGGCTCCTGGAAACCCTCCCCCTGCTGGTTTCATGGGTCAGCCTGGAATCGTCATGAATTCATACTGAGCTTTGTGACCTTCTTTGGTCTGCTCTGACCTGTGAAGGAATTACAAAGATGTTGATTGCCTTGGAATCAGGACAGACTGGGTTCTTTAAAGCTATTTTCATTACAGTTGGGTCACGTGATTAGCTACTTCCCCTTTCTTTAACAACAATAATAATCAAGACAATAAATGATTTCATACTCAGGAATCATCATGTTTCTTCATGAATCTTGGAAAGATTTCAAAATCAAATTAATTTATGTCAATCCAATGGCCTAGAAATCCTGGAGTTAAACTTGTTGCAGTTTGATATTATGTGCCTTCATAGTTTTTATTATACAAATACTTGTTGTTGCCTGTGTGTGGGTGAGGGTTAAATCAATAAACACTGTATTGGATATAAAAATCTGCTTCTTTTACATCTTTGGAAAAAGTGCACTGCTATCAAAATTAATTAAGACTCAATATTAAATCAATAATTTTCCTTTTACAGTTACAGTCAGTTACCAGTATTGCATAATTTTGGATTCCTAATAACGTCTTTGGTGTATTGTACCTAACCCTTAGATCATGTAGCTGATGTCTGCCTACTGTTAAAAGAAAGGGAAATGAAGTCCTGTCCAGCATGTTGGCCCGAGTTATACTTTGTAGTAACAAGAAGTGACAGAAGATGGCGACAAATTCTCGATGAAAACATATTAAAGTACACATGTATTACACACGAACAAGTCCTTTCCAATTATACCTTTTAATTGCTAGTCTAGCGGAAAATAACAACAGAGACTCTTTTAACCCTTTGACTTCCACACTAAGAAATCCATTTGCAAAAAATTATTTGTTGGTAAAATTGTGTTCCTGCCTCTTCATTCAGCAACATTTCAGCAACATCATCTGGTGAAATGCAAGAGGGTAAAGCTCGTTGCATAGCTAGGGTGAACCTTGGACACAGAGTTGACCTGCTTTCTGTTGGGACAGGAAGGTGTTGAACAATGGTGGTTTGCTTGTGCAAGCTTGAAGTGTAGGTACAAGCAGTTACCATACAGACTACGGCAAACAGTAGGTGTATGCTTCTGAGGGCGATGAGCCCAGGAGGAGGGGCCCAGTTTGAATGTTGTGTGTACAAGCTGCAACAAAAAATGCTACTGACTCTACCTTTAAAATATCAACAAAAAAAACCCTGTAAACTATTAAATGCTAATTTTAGCGTTCATCCACTCCTTAGCTCACCGTGACTGTAATTTCAACCTGAAATCAACCTAATATGGTCAATTAAAGGCTTTATATGTGATTTTTCACACTTAAATATAGAAATCAAGTATATACTCTGAAAATAACTCTGTGAGTCATGACTGTCTACAATGGGTGTAACACCCGAGTCCCACTGTCTGTGATGTTTTCAGAGTTTTCAGAGTCCTATCTTCACTTTGTTTACATCGCCGGGACGGCGGCTGACTCCTCCCCTCGTGTATAAAAGTTGTTTAATTGAGGGACTAGAGAAAAGAAGAATAACATACTGTACTCACTGCTTAACTGTGTTTCTAGATCACGCTCATTTCAGGTAAATTTACATGCAGTGTGAAGATACCAGCATAATAAAGATTGCTAGCATTAGCATGCTAACACAACACAACCAGTTTGCCTACCGCAGCAATAGGAGTACAGAGGATGCAGTCTCCACTGCGCTGCGCTCTGTGCTCACTCATCTGGACAATAACAACACATACGCACGAATGCTGTTTGTTGATTTTAGCTCAGCATTCAACTCTGTCATCCCCTCCAAGTTAAACACATCCCGGAGACCTGGGCTTCAACACCTCCCTCCGTCACTGGATAATGGACTTTCTGACCAACAGACCCCAGTATGTTAGGTCAGGACACACCTGCTCCACCACCATCACACTCAACACAGGCGTACCACAGGGCTGTGTGCTGAGCCCATTCCTCTACTCCCTCTTCACCCATGACTGCAGACCTGTACATGGATCCAACACCATCATCAAGTTTGCGGACGATACAGCGGTGATTGGCCTCATCAGCAACAACGATGACACGGCCTACAGGGAGGAGGTACAGCATCTGGCCGCCTGGTGTGCTGACAACAACCTGCTCCTCAACACCAGTAAGACGAAGGAGATCATCGTGGACTTCAGGAGAGAAAGAGGAAGCACGCACAAACCCATTCCCATCAACGGGATGGCTGTTGAACGTGTCTCCAGCTTCAAGTTCCTGGGGACCCACATCACAGAGGACATCTCCTGGTCCACTAACACCTCCAGTCTGGTTAAGAAGGCTCATCAACGCCTCTTTTTCCTGAGGACACTGAAGAGACACCACCTGTCTTCAGCTGTACTGATGAACTTCTACCACTGTGTGATCGAGAGCATCCTGACCAGCAGTGTCTCAGTCTGGTACGGAAACTGCTCTGTCGCAGACCGTAAGGCGCTACAGCGGGTGGTAAAAACCGCCCAGCGCATCACAAGGTGTCCACTTCCTGCCATTGAGGATGTCCAAAGGAAACGCTGTCTGCGGCGAGCTCATGGCATCCTTAAAGACTCCTCCCACCCTGCCCACAGACTGTTTACCCTCCTGCCCTCCGGCAGGCGCTTCAGAAGCCTCCAGACCAGAACCAGCAGACTGAGGAACAGCTTTTTCCCCAGAGCTGTTTCTCTACTGAACTCTACCCCCCGAACTCTGAACTCTGTCTCTCTCTCTCTCTCTCCCTCTCTCTCTCCGCCCCCTGCTGACCCCCCCCCTTTCCCCTGCATATCACCTCACACCCATCATCCCCCCACCACTCCTCCTGGTCACACACACACATCTCTCATCCATCTGTATTATTGTATTATAGTATGTTCATATTATGTCCATATTCTTTATATTATCTGTAAACTAGTATAGCATGCTCACTGCACCTTAATCTGTATATTATTAGTATAGATGCTCACTGCACCTTAATCTGTACATTATAATCCTAAAAATACACTTATTTTGTAGCATTACTTATTTATAGCATTTATTTATATTTATTGCATCCCATTAATCCAGCCATCCAGATTTACCTAATAATTCACTTTTTTGTCTACATCTGTAAATTTTGTAATTACTGTACATAGCACAGAATTACTGTACATAGCACAGACTCTTGCACTCAATTACTGTACATAGCACAGAATTACTGTACATAGCACAGAATTACTGTACATAGCACAGACTATTGCACTTTCTGCTTATTTGCACTTCTGGTGAGATGCCAAACCTCATTTCGTTACTCTATACTTGTATATGTGTAATGACAATAAAGTTGAATCTCATCTCATCTCATCTCAATGCTGTTGTTTTGGTTTCATGCTGGTGCTCAACGGCGACATCTGCTGGATGAAAAAAATCACATATAAAGCCTTTAAGGGATATGTACATGATTGGCTAGCAAATGACAGATTTGGTAAACTTAATGCATAATGTAAAAAAAAAAAAAAAAAAAAGTACAGGTAAATATTTCAGACAAAGTCAAGTATTGAACACTGCTGAGTCCTTTTGCTGCACTTCAGATATTTAATTGTCAAGAATGACAATGTGAAGATACGAGCATAATAAAGATTGCTAGCATTAGCATGCTATCACAACAATGCACTGCTAGTTGTTTTGGTTTCATGCTGGTGCTCAAGGGCGACATCTGCTGGATCAAAAAATCGCATATAAAGCCTGTATTTTTTTGTAGAAATCAAAATACGTCACACTACTCTATTGTGAGCTATTCTAAATGTTTTACATGACTTATCCGGGTTGTGCAACATGCAAAAGACTCACTCCATATCAGAGGCACATCCCTTGAATTTCATTTGCTTCAAGGTTTAAACAAGGTGTACGGTTCACTCAGGTAAGACCTTTTATCTTCTATAATAAGATTTTTAATCCAACATTTAATAAAACGTTTTTCTGATATTGCCAAAAAAGTTAACTTGTGAAATAAAGACCGATGAGATTCCTGTGGACGTAAATGAAATATATTTTTTTCGTTTATAACACAGCCTCAGCAGCAGTGAAAATAAAAAACTCATTAGTATTCCTGTGAGTGGCTTTAAATGGAAACATACATGAAGGCTGTCATATGTGCGGTTATATGCATGTATGTAATTTTATGTCTATCTAATGTAGGTATGAAGGAAAGGGTGCGTGTATACATGTATGAATATGGATGTGTAGTTGTTTGGTAAAATGGCATGTTAGGATTTCATGAGAAAATGGACAAGTGTAACTGAAAAGCATCTCCTGAAGTTGTATGTTTTATCTGTGTACTCAATAAAAGATAAGTAAAAAAAAATGGAAACATACAAGATAGAAAAGAACATTTCCTTTTTTTTGTTATAATTTTTTATTATTATTATTGTTTATGTTTAAACATTGTCACTTACAATAAAGGAAATAAACATTTCCTGTAAACATTTCATGTTAAGATCAGATCAGATACGCCTTTATTGGTCTCTAGAGGGGAAATTCAAGTGTTGCAGCAGTACAATGACGAATAAAAGTTTGCAATAACAAATAAAATAGAAATAGATACATAAATAAAAATGTATGAACAACTGTTATCTAGTAAGTGTTGAATAAACTATAAACTGTACATCCTTTGATTGCTAGACAATTTAGATGTTGTGTTGTGCTGACTGAATTGTCCCCGGAAACTTTCTTTAAATGTTTCTTTAACCTGTGTTCACAGTTTCACTGTAAACTATCTGTGGTTAGAGATGTCAACACAACCCCTGGTGGAGTGGGAAACTGGTCTCTTGGACTGCTTTGAGGAAGTCAGCACCTGTAAGAATCAATTTTCATAACATAAGCCAAATTTGGATTTTCTTCAATTAAAGGTCATTTCTGATTGTATAAAACGGCATAATTGAGTTTGTATTGCTCCGTTTCAGGTTGCTATGGTTTCTGGTGCTTTCCTTGCCTTGCCTGCACTGTCTCAGGGAGATTTGGAGAGAACACTTGTCTCCCATTATGTGACATCTGCAGTCCCTCCAT